ACTTTGTTGTGCGCTAAATCACTCGTCATCGTTAGTCACACACACCTGTTGACGATTGTTCAGATTGCTCATAGGGTCATAGGGACCAAACACGTGCACACATACACACGAGTATTTCATAACATTTTATTTAAATTTAAACAATTAATACAATTTATAGAAAACAAAGTGAAATATACTATTTTTTGAAAAAAATCATGTATTATGTCTGATATAATCCAATAAAAAAATGACAGTTAGCCTACACTTCATAATTATTATTCACTTAGGACTTATAATTACTTGAATTTTAATTCTATGCACTAAATAAAAAAATCAACATTATTATTTTCCCCACAGGAGGAAGACAAGAAGGTACTAGGCAGGCAGCTATGGCACATGCCTGCCATCTGTATCACTATAAATACACTGTATCCGACTTGATGCTGTTCTTTTCAATGGTGAGAGAAAAACTCAGAAAATCTTGGAGACAAAACCCCTTAAATCCATGCTCAAAAAACACGCAGAGAAAGTGAGACTTTGAGAGAAAGATTAAGGAAAAGGAAAAGATGGCAGAGGAAGGCCAAACGCATAGTAGCAGTGAAATAGTTACTGGGCCAATTCGTAGAGTATTACTCATATCTGCTGGTGCTAGTCATTCTGTTGCTCTACTCTGTAAGTTTTATAAAACAATCTGTATATATCTCTATCGATCTCTCCTGCAAGTGTAAAGGTGTATAAAACATGTATTTATACACAGGCACGAGTGCATTTGAGATTGATAATGAAGAGCACAATTTTTCATTTAGGTTTTGTTGAAGATTTTGATTTGCTAAGGTTATCCATATCCTATTTTTCAGTAATCTAATGTTTTTTGCATGGACCAGAATGCTCCATGTAACTGGTTTTGATCCTTCTGAACTTGTAATGAGGGGCATTTCTGTAACTTTAAGCCGATAACCTTGCACAATTTTGTAAGTACGGGAATATGCTCTTGGTTCTGTATTGCCAAAAAATTTAATGCGAAAAAGTGTAAATGTTAATCTTATTACATTGTGAAAATGTTACATGTTCTTGCAATGTCTACAAACAACCTGATTATAAACTCTGTTCTCGTGTTTATGATCTCTTACAGATTAAATTCATAAAATAAAATTGCTACTTCGGTAATTTATGGATGTCGAACATTGTTAAAAATGTTACCATTAAGTCATAAGTGATTTAGATATTAAAACTTTTTTGGAAGATGATGGTCTTTTTCATATCTTGCAGTCGGAAATGTTATTTGCTCTTGGGGAAGGGGAGAAGATGGACAGTTAGGCCATGGGGATGCTGAAGACCGGCTTTCCCCGACTTCATTGAGTGCATTGGATGGACAAGAAATAGTATCTGTAACTTGTGGAGCTGACCATACAACTGCATACTCGGAGTCACAAATGCAAGTGTATAGCTGGGGGTGGTAGGTGTTCTACTCTATCTATGAAAATTTGGATTTTGGAATTCTTTGATGTTTGTCACAAGCATCATACATAACAAATGAATTTTTGAGATGAATGGATGTTCATGATCTACTTTCACGAAATCGTTTTGTTGAATTCAAAACATCTGGCATTCTTTCAAAATCACGTTTAAGATTGCTAAGACACACATGCTTCCAGTTTCTGAACACCTCACTCAGTATATAAAGTAGCTACTGTAGTTTGGAAACTGTAATTCAAGTAATTCCTGCAGTCACAAGACTATCTCAACATGATGAGGCCTAATCAGTCAATCCAGGAAATCAAAAGGGAGTAAAACTCCTTGTGTTCCACAATTTTTTGCAGCAAAGAGTGTGATTTACTGAACGCGATTTATGTATAATAGAATCTTTGGTTAAACATACTAACTTTATGCAAACCATTCTAGGGGTGATTTTGGGAGGTTGGGACATGGGAACTCCAGCGACTTATTTTCTCCTCAACCAATCAAAGGATTACAGGGTCTACGGATAAAACAAATTGCTTGTGGGGACAGCCATTGTTTGGCCGTGACCATGGAAGGTGAAGTGCAGAGGTTGGTTCTGCTCGAAGCCCTTAGATGTACTTATATTTATTTGCATGTACTTTCCTGGTCTTTGTTTAGGGTAAAGCAATAGCTTCATCAGCTAGGAAATGTTCTGCCTTGCAGATCTATACGTGAATCCTCTTAATTCCAAACATTTTTCTCCACAAGTACGAAATACAATATCAGCTTACTTTGGTATCTAAATTCCAAACATTGTTTTCACCTCCATGTTTGCTGACATCGAATAGATATATACAAGAGAGCAATTATCCCAGTAAATCTCAACCCATTTACTTAGATACCCTGACAGAGATTTCTGTGTAAGTCTGAAATGTAGGAAATACTAGGATCGTTTTGCTGTAACTTGTAGTGCAACAATATGCTTATTATCTTAATGAGTTAAAGCTTGTTTGGGAAGTGATCATAAATGTTTAAAATTATAAATATATAGAAATGAGTGGTGGATAAGTGGGTAGTGCTTGTGGATCCCACGAAATGTATGGATAAAAAATGATTTGACTAATATTAGTGAAATATGGGCTTAATCTTTTGTTGACGATGGTATGGTGCAGTCCTGATCCTGCGTTTAAAGAATCAAGACTCAGAATTCTTCGAACTGTGCAAATTTCTCGAAGCAACCACAGCATTCTTTTTATTTTGAGCTTCTGCAATTTGTATACTATTAGTTTCCTGTGTGAAAGCTAGATCTTAGGTAGAATCATTTCAATCTAAGAATTTTTTTTGGGCTTTTCCCATGTAGAAACATTAGATTGTTCGTTTATTTTGAGTTACGATACTTCTAAATGGGCTGAATGTTTGCTTTTATTGACATTTTGCATTTTTGCACTTGTACTCGGTTAAAGTTGGGGGCGTAATCAAAATGGTCAGCTAGGCATTGGGACAACAGAGGATTCTCTTGTGCCTCGGAAGATTGAAACTTTCAAGGTATTATCAATTCGAGAAGTTCTTATAGCTGCTTTCTTCTGTCGCTCATTTAATATAAAGGTGTTTCCCTTTTTCTCCTCCTGTTGCTCATTCCAGCAATCATTAAAAATACGTGTTCAAAGAAACAGAATGCTATATGTGCCTGTTGCTAAGCTTAACAGAGTTTACTGAAAGTATTCATGTGAACAGGAATTGAATGATTTTGAAGCTTGCTTTTTCGTTTTTCCAATTTTCAAGTCATTCCACCTGGAGTTTCTAATGATGTTATTTATTCTATTCTCATCTGGCACCTATGAAGATATATTGATCCAAATAGTCAATATATTTAGCTCTTCTACTGTTAAAAAGACGGTTTGTCGTCATGAATTCTCACAATGAAAAAAAAAAGCATAACGCCAAGTAATTGTGGAAATGATATAGCATAATAATCACTAAATGTTTTGACTAACGATTGTATCCGGATTCAACACTGATGCTGAGGATAACATAAAAAGTATTGTTTTATGAACAATTGAAGGAAGGCTAGTTAGTTGCATTACAAAAGCACACAATTCTGAATGGATATTCATTGTTTTTGGGCATTTCAGAGCATAGGAAATCAGATTTTCAATTTTAACTTGGGAAAGCATAAACATTTTCTAAATTTCTTCTCTGGTCAACACTTTCATGTACACCAAAAACAGTAGAAACTGACTAAGCATATGATAAAATCAGTTGCAAGAAGAAAGAAACCCTGTCTTGTCCATTTAATATTAATAGTTCTGGGTGAGTGTTTTGAACTTTTTATAGATAAACTACTTGGTACTTTTTGTAGGGAGTATCTATCAAAATGGTCGCTGCTGGTGCTGAACATACAGCTGTAGTAACAGAAGATGGTGAGCTTTATGGCTGGGGGTGGGGTCGATATGGAAATCTAGGATTAGGTGATAGAAATGACCGCTTGATTCCTGAGAAAGTTTCGACTGTTGAGGTTTGTTGGCACTCTGAATATCCACGTATTTTTCCCCTTCTAAAACAGCTTGTGAAAATCACATAAAAATCGACCCTGGGACTAAAATGAATCTCCACCTTAGTCTCATTTACCTTCTTTCCTTTTTTTTCCCCCGAGTCATGGTAAACCATATTTGCAGGGAGAAAAGATGGTTCTGGTGGCATGTGGATGGCGGCATACAATATCTGTCTCCGCTATGGGTATTTTGTATACTTATGGGTGGAGCAAATACGGTCAACTAGGACATGGAGATTTTGAAGACCAACTAATCCCTCATAAACTACAATCTTTGCATGAAAAATGTATTTCTAAGGTAATTTGTTCCCTCCGACAAATGTCATAAATTTGCATCATTTCTTGAGGTATGTTTGGCTCCACTTATTTTCCTCACTCTTTTGGATTTTACTTTAATTGAATCAGAAAATTTCCAGTATATTCTGTAGAGCCTTAGATATTAAAAATGTGGATCACAGGGGAAAAGAAAAAAACTGTATTGTTTTTGTACTATTCATGTTTTTAAGGTTCTTACACATTCTTCCTTTTCACTCCCAGATATCTGGTGGTTGGAGACATACGATGGCAGTGACAACAAATGGAGAACTTTATGGTTGGGGCTGGAATAAGGTTCAGAATTCTAGTTTCTTCTTGATTCAGCTTCAGCATAATCTCATTGTGCATATCATTATCAACCACTTCTTTTACATTTAACTAACTTTAAATTACTTTTTTTATTGATTTATTTATCTGTGCACAGTTCGGACAAGTTGGTGTTGGTGACAACGTTGATCATTGCTTGCCTGTACAAGTAAAATTTCCACATGATCAGGCATAGTTTTTTTCTCAGTGCTACTATTTTGTCAGTTCCAAATGCACAAGTGTCCGATTCTAAGGTTTTCCACTTAAAATTTATGGCAGAAAGTAGTTCATATCTCATGTGGTTGGAGGCATACGCTCGCTGTCACTGAAATGCAGAATGTGTTTTCGTGGGGGAGGGGCACAAACGGTCAGCTTGGCCATGGGGATACCCTTGACAGGTAATATTATACCGAACCATTTATTTTAATTCTGAATATCTCGCGATCATCCAAAGTCCACAAATTCAGTTCCTCGTGCTGTTTGTTTTGCTTACAAACCAGTACCGTGATAACTAATCAGTAAAAGTTAAATTCCAATAATCAAATTGTGGTTCTTATATGAAGAATCTGGAATTTAGCTCAACTTTCCACCGTGTTTTTCAGAAATGTCCCGAAGATCATAGAGGTATTGAGTATGGATGGATCGAGTGGACAGGAAATAGAAGCCTCAAAAGTTTACGTATCATCAGGTTCTGTTTATGATTTCCACATCCATATTTCACTAGTTATAATTGCTTCAGTAATTAGCATGAACTGATCTTCAGTATATTTATGTTTTTCATTGACAGAAAAAAGTTGGGTCTCACCGCCTGACAGATATGCCGTTGTTCCAAATGAGAATGTAAGTTCATCTTTGTATGGATCTGAGCATCGTTACACGACCAACTAATCATCCACTCTTCACTCAATGTTTATATGGAAAAGAATGTACATCTCTTGAACGTAACTGTTACTGCAGGTCTCATTTGGCGGTAATGGAAACGACATAAATGTCCCCGACAGTGATGTAAAAAGGATGCGGATTTGAATTTCTCGACTTCCACAAGGTGTAGTGCATGTCCCTGATGCCTTTAAACTTACAAAATACTTATTGTCTAGGTCTTTTTGTAGCTGACAGTTACCATATTGCGTATTATAATTCCTACTCACTGTAATTTCATGACATGTTTTGTTGATGCAATTTGTTAATGTCACACTGACTAATCAGTATAATATGTGGGAATTATTTGGTGTTGGAAGATATTTTCAAGGCATGTTGTATAGAAAATCTCATTCCACTAGTGTCAACTACAATACACTCCTCCCTTTTTTTTTATAACCGTGAATGTCTGAGCCAGCTTGCGCGCATCTCGACTAATTCCACGGGGCCTTGATACACTCCTCCCTACTGAAACACAAGCCATAAATGACTAATGAAATTTGGCAAACTGATTTTCAAGCAGTACCGAGGGAATAAAAATCTGAAGCTGGGGCAGATACCTTGAGTCCCAAGCGCTAGTAGAGTGACAAGGAAATCAAGAAATGACTATTTTGTTTAGGTTGCAGGTATGGCGTCAAAGGAGTGCAAATATTTTTCCAGAATCGTTCTTCTCTCCGTGTCGAGAAGGTCATCTAAACCATCAGAGTGAGCAATATTCAAAAGATAGAGCTTCTTAGATGCACAAATGCAGCAGAAAAGACCCTCTTCAACCCTCCCTGGTGCTATCAACCTTGTATTCAAACTCACACATGACGGCCTTTGTGACCTGTTCTCTCGGAGAAAGCAATCACCTGAGCTTCTTTTGTACTTTCATACATAATCGAAGCTTCTCTCAGTCAGGTTTAAACCTGTGAAAGCCATAAAAATATAACTTACGTTCACTCATAATACAGAGATAAGAAATCCGGGAGGGGAGGCTGTGTCCATAAATGATGAACAAAGAACACTAACCTTACGCCTTTCAGCCTGGATAAGTTTATCTGCTACAAACTGAGGAGTGCCATATTCGCCTAGACTCGCAATCCGAGTTGGGTTCACCGCTACACCTACATTGTTTGATTTCATGTTTGCGTCCTCAAATAAAACAGTTGCTCCAGCTTTTTCAAGAATTTTCCTATTAAAATCTTTAAGAAAATCACATCAAGGATAGGAGGAAGACGGGCCAAAGTCAAAGAAGAGGGTATAAGAAGAGTGAATCCTTCTTTGAGATCAGTGTATTGTTGAAGCTCCAACAATTGAGAAGACAGGGCCCTTAGAAGAAAACAGGAATCTTGATAACACAGCTCCAACAATGGAGAGATTAACTAAGCTTTTGCTTCAAACAACCCACTTTCGGCAATGTAGGGATGGCAACGGGTCGGGGCAACCGCCCCGCCCCGCCCCGCCCCGCCAAGCCAAGCTAACCAATTCCCCGCCCCGTCTCCTCCCCATTACCCGTTGAAGGCAGGGCAGGGCCCCGATTACTACCCCGTTTAATTTTATTTTATTTTTTTAAGTTTTTGATAATTTATTTTATTGTCCTTATTCATTGAATTGAGACAAATAATTTTAGTTCTCATTTTCTATCAGAACTAATAAAATTTTCCATTTAAAGTATTGAATTCTTAAAAAAAATAAAATTAAATGAGGTGGGGCAGGGACGTGCCCTGCACCGAGACAAAATTTCCCTCCTCGAATACCCGATTAAGTGGGTAATTCCCGTCCCGTTCGGGGTGGGGTCCGTGGGTATCGAGTTTGTTGGATTTTTTTGTCATCCCTATGATAATGAGATTAGAAGAAGAACATGTTGATACCAAAGTGATAATTTGGGGTGGTTTTTTGGTTTATATGACGGTGGAGATGAGAGTGAGGGGCCGAACTTTTGAATAATGATATATAGTGGCAACCGTGGTGGCCGTGGTGGTGGTTTGAAGGGGGAGTAGAAATCCAACACAGCCATTACCGCACTTTCTAGGGGCCAATGGATTTAGGCTTATTCCCGTTGTATAGAAAGGAAACCACAGAAATTGACTGGAAGAGAGATATACAGTGGGCCCCATCGTGTGAGTGTTTTGTCTAGATTCTGTTGGGTTCTCTTCTGGTCATATAGCATGTCTCATGAATTTATAAGGAGTCAATAATTACCTAACTTACGGTTTACACACTAAACTTCAAAGTGCTTCACAATACTAATTGAACTTTATCTGTTTGCACTCCATCTATCACTCTAAAAAATACGTCACCTTATTCGTTGACATGACTAACGGAAATTTGACCTCACAAGTTACGCATGTTAAAAAATTACAACTCAACCAAACCATTGTTTCATTACTCATCAAACTTATACTTGATCACAGCTTACTCATCAAACTTCAAAATACTTCACAATGGTCACTCATCTTTGACATGTTGCATTACATCCATCATCCATCATATTTCGTTCACGTCATTGTTAATGTTCGCATGAAATTCCACGTCGTAAGTTACAAATGTTAAAAAAATTACAACTCAACCAAATTATCAACTCACTGAAATCACCATATGCGAAACGTGACTTCTAGGTCTCCATAAACTTCTTTAAAATCCAATAAAGCGTCTCTAATGATTCTTCTAGAAATATCATTTTTTTCAATTCTAACATTTACTATGCGAAAAATGAGTTTCAATTTGAGATTGAAAATCTGAAACATAACGTGTTCGGTTGAAAATTGATTTGTGAAAATACTGTCTATATTTCACTCATTTGATTTCTAATTACATCCAATTGATCATATATGATTTTCAATCATCGTTTTGTATTCCAAATCAACCATTTGATATTTGTACTTTGGATCTCTTACAATTTCGCAATTTTCTCGTTCATTTTCTACAATTTCACCAACTTCATCGATCTTTACCTAACAAACACAATATACATAGAATTAAGCAATAATTCATTAAAATATCCAATAAATACTCTAATTTAAAAAGGTCTAAATAAGAGTGCAAATTGAACTTATCACAAGGTTTTTTAGGGCTGAAATTAGAAACGCTTTAAGGGGTTTTAAAAAAGTTTGAGTGCGTGTTGATGGTTTGGCTAAGTTGTACTTTTTTTATGATTGTTACTTAACACGTGGAATTTTCGTATGATACATTAGCAACGAATTGAACAAAATATGGCGAGTAATAGATGGAGTGCAACATCTCAAAGATGAGTGACAATTGAAAAATATTTTGAAATTTGATGAGTAAATTGTAACTAAGTGTAAGTTGGATGAGTAATGAAATAATGGTTTTGTTGAGTTGTAATTTTTTAATGATCGTAACTTATTATGTCAGATTTTCGTTAGCTACGTAGCGAATAAGGTAACGGATTTTTTAGGGTGATGGATGGAGCACAAACGGGCAAAGTTCAATGAATACTGTGAAACACTATAAAATTAGTGCGTAAACCGTGATCCCGGTATAATTGGGTGATTATTGAAACAATTACTTTGATTTCTAAGTAAAAAAAGAGACTTAGAAATTAGGCAATTATTTAAGGTTTCATATTTAAGTTGGGCTCTTGAATTTTTTTTTTTTTAAATATTCTAGATAATTTTATTAACGAAAATGAATTTTTCCATCGCTGTTAAATCAAAAACGATTTAAAATATTATCTATAGACGAAATTTTGTTGCTTAATAAGTAATAAATACAAAATGATAAATATTGCTAAAAGAAAAGTCATCGATAACTCAAATTTAACAACTTGAGATGAATAATGGATTTTTTCGTTATTGATAATTTAAAAAAATTAACTATCTTCATAAATTTAATTAACTGGTACAATTATAGCCGTAAGCGAAGTAATAAAAGTTAAATATTATATCTCGAGAATTAAATAAAAATAAAAAATTAGTTTCGTAAGTGAAGTAATAAAAAGTTAATATTATATCTCGATAATTAAATAAAAAATAAAAATTAGTTTAAGATTACGGAGGATTTTTTAGTTAGTTACATTAAAACATAAATAGTTTAATAAAATTAATCTACCAACAAAATTTTTGTAAATAAATAATTGAAAAATAAAAAAATTATAACAGTTAAGAAAATAACTTATTCATAGGTAGTATAAGGAAAGAAATTAAACTTATAAGTTACTACTTAAAAAAATTAAAAACAAGTTTCTGTCGACAATCAGATCAAGAAATTGCTGACAAATGTTGATTCATGTCATAGATCCAATCTCCTGATCTTTCTTTCGCTATTCAACGATGTCGGCAATCACTAATAATTTTGTCATTTCGCCATTAATTTTTTATTATTATTCTGAAAAATCTACCATAAGCAGCCTTACCTAAAAGGGAAAATCTTCTTGGCCCGGCCTTGTCACCCCCCCCCCCCCCCCC